CTTTGTTTTTTTTTTTTTTACGTCGGCTACTATCAAAACGGATGTAAAAAACACTTCCTATCAAATTAATATGGAAAATCTCCCCCATATATTTTAAAAAATTCCCCCACCTCATTGTTTACATTGGTTCTTCCATAACTGTAAAAAGTACTTATTACATCGATTTAAAGAATACCTCACTGTTAAAAAATGCTATCGTGCTTTTTTTTTTTAATATCAAATCCTTTTTAACCGATGTAAAATCATGTTGTAGAATGTTATTTTTCTACTAGTGAGAATTTAATTTCTCTTTCAAAACGCATGAATGCATGCAAAAAATTATTATTTAAAATTAAAGGTGTATCTTTATTTAAGAACAAACATAAAGGATTAACTATTTTGAAAAAATCTTTGATAGAATGCCTATAAAAATCAATGAGTCCAAGGATAGTTCTGAATCTCTTGATGTTCACTAGTGGTTGCGATATAGCAATGACATCTACTTTTGTCATGTCCACCTCAATTCCTTTTATTGAAACTTTGAGACTAAGAACTATACGTTCTTTTATCATGAAATGACATTTTTGTCAGTTCAAACCAAGGTTAATTTTTGTGCACCTTTCAACACAAGAGACAAATTATCTAAATACGAGTCAAAATTTGCACTAAAAAAAGAGAAGTTATAGCATCCTTCTTTATAATTTGAAAATTTTTCTTTACTAAATATATAAATATAGTTGAAATTTGATTGAAATATTACCAAGGTTTGCACTAGACTGGACCGAGACCACTTGCGTCCAACATCTTCTTTTCTGCCCCAAGACTCTTATTAGCAAGTAAGGGGGGAGTCTATAATGTGTGGAACTTGTTGAAATTTTCTGCATGTTGACCGAGATATTAATGCATATTGATTGAATCCTCTTTTGCATGTTTGGTTGAGATCCATCTTGATATATATTAGTGATGCTAGTCAATTAAGATCTAAAAGGACAAGTAAGTGGATTAAATATAAAATGTGAAATGATCATGCATCATGCCTATGGAAGAAGAAATATCTTAAGGATACCGTTGGCACAACTGTGGGACGCCTATGTTAGGATCAATGAGGAACCTTGGGGGGTGACAAAGGAAGGGATGATCCAATGGCGCAAAGTAGCTCACTGTGACCAAGTCACGTCACCAACAAACCTTTGTCAAGCCTAATCGTGAACACCCGTTACCAAGATTGCAGTAGGCCTATTCCCGAATAACACCCATGAGTGTAAGGTTAACATATGTCATGAAAACATAATGTGCTAGATGTGATAGTAAGGAAAGAGTCTTTCGATCACCTTAAGACTAGGAGTGATTTGAATAAGAAAAGAAAATATGGGATCCTCATGCATTGTATGACAATTAAGAAATAGTAAGGATAATAAGAATCTCCATAATTAAATTGCATCATGCATCATTTCATATGAGAATATATGTAAATTTTTCTACTTCATTTTAAATGTGATGAAAATACTCCACTGTTTGGATTGACATTTGAGGCGTTGTTCCTCTCTATATGCATGTTATGTACCTTGATTTGAAATTATAGTCTCACCTTCATTTTCTTTTATTCCTTTCTCTTTGGTGTGTGTTTGCTTGTTTGGACGACCTATGGATATATGATGACGCCACCTAGCAGACCATTTATGGGGAGAACTTGCCTAGCTTATACAGTGACCCAGATGCTACCTTGCCATCCTCAAGCTTGATATCCTGTCCACCTACTCCACCCCATAGATTTTCTCCCATCGATGGGGAGAACTTGCCTAGCTTACACAGTGACCCAGATGCTACCTTGCCATCCTCGAGCTTGATATCCTGTCCACCTACTCCATCCCATAGATTTTCTCCCATCGATGGGGAGAACTTGCCTAGCTTACACAGTGACCCAGATGCTACCTTGCCATCCTCACTAGATACTGACCCTTCAGAGGATTACTCATGCTCTTATGGGGTTGTCTTGCAAAAGGGTGCCTTATAATGAGTAAGACACCACAATGCAACCCCAAAACCTTAAAGTAATGGGTGAGTGAGTCCATCTTCTTATAGACCCTTGACTTGCCTATATCCCATTCCATGTGGGACTAATTCATACTTGACTCCAACAAACAACTCTTTAGAGTCATTTATGATAACTAACTTCTTAGTTTTCATATAGTTCTTTGATTGAATAATCTTCCTAGAACTATCTCTCTTATCAGGATACTACTCTAATAAGAGAAGGAAAGTAATTTAGAATTACAAGGTGATGGAAGTTTAGAAGTAATACTAGATCTCTATAAGAATGCAAAGATTAACTCGAAGGAAGTGAACTATCAATTTTCATTTTTGCAAGATGAGATCTTTATGGATATTAATTTTTACAATATTATTTATTATTTTATTGTGAATATTAATTTTTGAATTTTTCTCATTTTTTTATTCTTTTAAAAAATAAAATGGAGATGAAAATGTTTTAATAGAAAAAATAAAAATGATAAAAAGTCAACTTGGCTAAGAGAAATGAAAAACTCGCAACCTCAACTCAATATAGAATTAACTTTTAACATAAATGAAGGAAAAACTTAAAATTTTGTACTCGTATAAAACCTTTAAAACAAAAATGGAATCAATATATACAGAGAGAAAGGGAGAATCCAGAAAAGGGGAGGAAGAGAAAAAATTTTAAGATATGAGATCGAAAAAAAAGAAGAACAGGAGATAGCAAAAAAAATTTCAATGAGAAAAGATTTAAGAAACAAGAGCTTCAAAAGATAAAGAAAAATATTAAAAAAAATAAAAATAAAAACAAAACAATTGAAGACAAAAAAAAAGGAGAGGGAAGAGGAGAAGAAAATTGCAGCATAAACTACCATTGGAGCCACCACTATTGGTCACATTTTCCATTGTTAGATACTTTGCCGTCATAACTTTTACCTTTCGCATTTTAAGTTGAGTATAGGAAGAATAGAATGAGAAATAAAAGCTTTGATTTTCTTTCTATTTTATTTCTCTTCTTCCTCATCTTATTATTATTATTATTATTATTATTATTATTATATAGTTGTGTTCAAGAGCTCCAATTAAAAAAAATTAAAAAAGAAAATGAGTTTGACCATTCCAACTTAATTTTATAATAATAATAATAATAATAATAATAATAATAATAATAATAATAGTAGTAGTAGTAGAAGGTTAAATTTGATTAAAATATAATATTAATTTTCTATCTTTCAATTATATTATATTTACCTTTTATTATATTACTTTTAAAATTTATCCCCTTCCTTCAAGAATAATAAAAGATAGGAAGATCAGTAACATAAAAAAATAAAAATTCTCACAATAATTTTTGTATTATCACTTATATCTTAATATTTATTTATTTTTGGATTATATGTTCTTTAATATTATTATCCTTTACTTTATTGTATAACTTTAAAATATTGACGTAATTTAATTTTATATTCATATTTTGTCTTTTCTTATTTTATGGTTAGAGAATCATACTTTTAACTTATTTTTATAGTAAATAAATAAATAATACAATATTTACATCAATGTATAACACTAACGTATAGTTTCTCTTAACTTATTTTTATAGTAAATAAATAAATAATACAATATTTACATCAATGTATAACACTAACGTATAGTTTTTCTATTATGTTATAATTTAATAAAGTTTGTATGTACTTATGTTACATAGGTGTGTGATAAAAATTTAATATGTTTTGATTTTAATCAATTAAATAAATATTTTTAACTAATCAAAATATAGTTTTTAGATATTTTTCTTTAATTATCAAATTAGTAGTTAATTCATTTAATTAAGTTAAATTATTCTAATGCAGCAATTTAAAATATTATTATGTATTGTGTAGCATCTCTATCTTTACGTGTTTTAAATTGTTAAGATCTTTGTATATCTACATTACCTTAGTTCCCTATGCTATACAAACTTATCAAATGATGTTTTAATTTCTCTTAATTAACTAATTATTTTTACTAATCAATTTAATTGTATTTTTCATTTTTCTCTTTAAATATTTCTCATCTCATTAAATATAATTAATTATATATTTAAGTAACTTGAAAAACTAAATAAATAAATATTTAATTACTTAAATTTATTTTTTTATTTTATTCTCATAACACTAGTATGTGATTTATATTATATTCCATTGATATTTAAGTTATAAGAGATTTATGTGTAAATGACGTTATTTTAAATTCTTTCTAATATAAATTTTCAAATTCAAGTATAATTTAAAACATTTTTTTATAAACTAAAAAAGATTTTTTAAAATTATTTTTAACAATTTGCAATATAACTGTATGATCTTCTTTTGTCTTCTTTATTGTTAATATAGGATATATGTATAATCATGTTATCTTATATCCTAAACGTTGTAATCTTATAAAAATAATTTTATTCTTAAAATAAACTTTCTTTTACTAAACTTAATTCAATTAACCAATTTCAATTTTTTTTATAGAACTACATGAATTTAAATTCTCTATTATACCTAAGAATACGTCAAAGTGAAAATTAAACCTATCAAGTCAAAATAATTTTCAAAATAAACTTTTCTTTTTTTAAGATATCCATTAATATTTCAATAAATATTTTTTTTCTTTTTAAAAATAAAAATAGAAGCAATTATTTTTGAGAATTAAACAAATACTTTTCAAAATTATAATAAATTAATACAATTAATTTAAAGTAACCATCAGTTAAACAAACATTGTAGAGTACTAATATCTTCTTCACATGTAAACAACTCTTAAACTAACTTTTTTATTTTTAAGATTATATTATTTTAAAAATAATTCTAAAGTTTTTTTTAATAAATTTTAGTAAAAAATCCTCTAATTTTTAGAAAATATATATTTTTAAATTAATATTTTTAGAAAACATTTCGTTGCAGCAGCCACGTTGCGATATTTATTTTTCTTTATTTAGAGAGATAAGCATGATCTAAATAGATAATTAGGCCAACTTTTGAGAAACAGAGTAGCGGGAAATGTATTTTGGGTTCATTTCCCCTCTTTAGCAACTCAATGATATGGTCTATGTAATAATCATGACTACAATAAATCTTGTTGACATATATTTATTATGTTCAATTATGCCGCTAAAAGAGTGTTACACAGCCAACGTTCTGTAAGCATGCTTTGAGCAAAGATTATTACTCTTTTTTAATAATTTCTGAACTCGTATAAACTTCAACAGTCTCCCCTTTCAAACACAGCAGCAGCTCCCATACCTGACCCTGAAATGATGCACATTTCAACAATGTTAATAGAAAACAAACACAGATCACGATCAGAAAGAGATGCAATAAGGTTTTCTCACACTGTTCTTATATCCGTTATGCTTTTAATATTAACCACTATCACTAGTTAAGTAATCAATAAATAGTAAAAGTTTTAATTAAGAATTACGTAAACAATATATTAGAAATCATGAGACAAGTGCATTCTTACTTTTTCTGATAATTTTTCTGTCTATTTTTAATTCTTAACTGATATTCTTACGGATTTGGAGGGAGACGGAAGATAAAGGTTTCAGGGATGATGGAGAAGAAGGGAAAGGAAGAAAGAGAAGAAAATAAAAGATTAACAAAAAAATCTTCCAGAAAGAAATTAAAAACATGAGTTTATAAAAGTTTCGAAGAGCTTTAAAAAAACGTTTCCTTCGTATCTAGAAACTCTTAAACAAGGGTTATCATCAAATTAACTTTTAAACAAAACTTTAACTTATATGTAAAAATATTTTAGGATTCCTAAATAAAATCAAGGTAAGTATCGAAGAAAATAATAGTTTTACCGATCACTAGAGAGAATTAAGATTACAAAAGAATCTTTTAGAGTTAACAGCTCTTAAACAGAAAATGAAATTCTCTCCAAAACAACCAACAAAATCAATAATAACTCAATCAAAAAATTAAGAGCATGTTTGTTTCCTCTTTTAAAAATTATTTTTAATTTTTAAAAATAAATTATAATATAAATTTATATTATAATTTATTTTTGAAAACTGAAATCAATTTTTAAAAGAAAAATCAAACATTCCCTTAGAATCCATCTTAACAGCTAGCAATATAAACAAACTAATTGCATTATCAATACTAACTAACTAACATTAGCTAAGTCTTATCCTTATCTTCTATAGCTGACTCTTTTCTGCCCTTCCTCCTAAAATAAACATTTCACACTTTAGATCTTTTAGGGTATGTTTAGGAGAGTTTTTGGAGGAAAAGGGCTTATTATTTAATTTTATATTAAAAAAATTATATATTATTTAGAATGACAAATATATTATTAACATATTAAATTTTGTTATTATATAAATTTATATCTTTTATTTTTAAAAATTATTAATTTTTAAATATATTCATTTAAAATATAAAAATAAGTCCTTCCCTCCCTTCTCCTCCAAAAATTGTCTCCCAAACATACCCTTATTGACATCAACGGTTCTGTTAGAATATCTCTCCATCTGCCATTTATCATTTTCTATTCCGAGAAAACACTTTTTGAGGAAATAAATACACTAACTTATTTAGCAAGCTGCTTTAAATACTAGATTGTCTAGTTCAGGCACAAACTGCGTAGTTAGCTAGCTATAAATCTGCCAATCAACTTGCAAGAAAAACCGCAAAAATATTTTGCTATTTTTCCTAAGAACCTTGAAAGGAATCTTGCAATTTATGTCCCAGCTTGATGAGACATGCATTTGTTACACACTAATTTTAAGTTCAATTCAATGAAAATGAATACACAATTTACAAGTTATTTATAATTTTTCTCAAATATTCAGTAGTTTTGCTGGTATGTGTGAGATGGAGATAGGCAAAAAGAACACACCTATGCACATTGAGATTACACCAAAACGACAATCCGTGCCACGACGCTTCATCTCATTCAATAAAGTTGCAACACAGCGTGCACCTGACACCGAACAGCATTAAGTATATTAACCAATTTTAAGCATCTCAAAATTAACATTCGGTTCATCATTCATGATACATAAACAGAATTAACATGTTCAGCAGCAAGACAGCTTATTCTTGTCATTAGATAAAGCATACATATGAGTGAACATGTTAAAGTATTATAAAGTTTCCAATCAACACTACCTGTTGCGCCCAAAGGATGCCCAAGAGCAATAGCACCACCATTGACATTGACCTTTCTGGGATCCAGTGCCAATTTCTTGCAGGAATAAACAAACTGCGACGCAAATGCCTACACAAGACCATCATATTGTTAACATTCAGACCAAGATTTATTGAAGTTATGCTTAACATGGCTGTGTAAAAATGTGCAATAAAATGTTGTTATCAGTTATAAGGAGTGACAAAACTGCTAAAACCGTTACCTCATTGATTTCAAACAAGTCAATGTTGCCAACTTCAAGACCAGCAGATTTCACTGCAGCTGGAATAGCAAAAGCCGGGCCAACACCCATGACAGCAGGATCTACTCCAACAGCAGCAAAACTCCTATAAAATTGAATTCACTTGTGTGATGAATTTGACTTTCTAAATTTAAAATATAAAAAATAAATAAATAAATAAACATAAGGTTCTATTAGAGATTGATTTCAATTTAGGCCCATGTTGAATAGATTTCCAAGCAATTATGAGTTCAAATAACTTTTCAGCACAAGATATTCTGATATCAAAATTTAAAACTGTGAAGCATATGTCTTAAAATTGATAGTTTTTCCGACACAGCATGTAGTAAATATTTCCTGTATATATAACTACGAATACTTGGATAAGGCTTGCTTCTTGTTGTTGTTGATATAAATATGAATACTTCTCAATTGAAATAGCTTTCCTTGCAGAATGCCAAATGTAAGTATTTAATGTACAGTAGCTCTACATCTACATGCCTGTTTTATTAGTTTATTCAAAAAAGAACTTTCAGGGACCGAACTAACTCGCAAGGCTTTCTTGTAATATGCTATTAAATGAATCAAATTACTAGTTAGAAGTGCAGCTTTTACAGAGACGTTGAGTTCTGATATGAGAAAAAAAAATGCATTTCAGGGCTAAATACAAGTGGTGTGCACATTTCAGGACACATGAAGGATTATGTCTAGATTCAAATTTAATGTGACTTGTATTCAAGAAGAATTTCTTTGATTATGCATCATTATTGTGTACCTGAATATTCCAAGAATAGGAAGCCCCCTTTGCACAGCCACTCTTCTCTTCATGAGGAGCACAGCTGCAGCACCATCACTAACTTGGCTAGCATTCCCTGAAATTGAAAAAAGCGAGATTGAAAGCAAAAACATTCAGTCGGTAGAAGATCTCTCTGAAAGTAACAAAATGAACAAGAAAAAGATTTCTTGAGTACCTGCTGTTGTGGATCCATCCTTGTGGAATGCGGGCTTCAGTTTTGCGAGATCTGCTAAATTTGTGTTTGGCCGGATACCATCATCAACAGAAACAGTAATTTGCTTCTCCACTCCAGTTTTAGGGTCCACAATCTTAGGAAAACAAATTATTAGTAGTATAGTATCACACTATTTTTGCAGAAATAATCGCTTATTTTATCAGCTTTCTGAAAGAGCTCTTTGAGAATAAGCAATTTAGGAAACGAACCGTTCCCAAACACCCACATGAATAATGCAAGGAATTCATCTTGGCAGTTGGTACTCACCTTTGTAGAAACTGGAACAATTTCTTCTTTGAATTTACCTGCTGCTGTTGCAGCTGCAGCACGCTTGTGAGACTCAACCTAATTATACAAATTCAAAGAGTTTATGCATGCTGATAGTCTTTCCATAGATTCACAGCACATTAAATACATTTCCATACTCACAGCAGCTTGATCTTGCTCCAGCCTTGTCACACCATAACGCTGTGCTACATTCTCAGAAGTGATTCCCATAGGAAGAAGACAATCCCGGGCTTGTGCAAAGGTTTCCACCTAATGATGAAAAGTCAAGCTGAATATGTTTCAAAGGAAAATGCCAACTTCACAATATACAACTTTAATGCACCTTCGGGTTTCTTTTGCGATTCCTTGAAATTTGATCTTGTGTCATACACTCCAATCCAGCCGCAATGCCTGCATCAAATATTAAGATTAGACCAAAAAATAACAAGGGCATGGCATGTTAGTCTAAAGTCTAGATTCATTCTGACCAATGTCATAGAACCCAGCTTTTATATATGCAGCTACATCAGCTACTGCCTGAAGTCCAGATGAACACTGTCTATTGACAGTTCGAAGAGTCACAGTCTCTGGTTGAAAATAGAAAAACCATCATATGTTGGAAGTTGAGCAAAAATACATACTAACTTTAAGCATAATCATACGAAGTCACCTCATGGCTCCATGAGTACTTCTGCATTTACTCAGGTCAAATCAACAAATTCATATAAATCAAGCTCCAAGAAGACTAAAAATGTACCTGGAAAACCTGCATAAAAGGCAGCCATTCTACATTCAATTGCTCTTTCTGATCCTGGTGCCAGTACTGTGCCAACAACTATGTCTCCAACTTCACTTGGGTTCACATTTGTTTTCTCTATTACAGCCTATATGAGAATTCAGATTAGAAAATACAGGAAATTAAAATGGTAAAAGAAATGAAAAGTGATTAAGAAAAGTTGCTGAAGATAATTTTGGACCAAACCATTTCGAGGTTGACACATTTCTTGATAATTTTCTTTCCAATCTTTTCCTTATTAACCAATTAATTAATCAAAGAACTACCTTCAGAACTGAGGCAAGAAGGTCATCTGCAAGAGTATCCTTGAAGCCCCCACGCTTTGCTTTGCAAATGGCAGTTCGATATGCACTGGTTGTTGCAGTTAAATTAAAGTCCAAGGGTCATTCATGTCATTAACAAAATCATAGAGTAAATAGTCAACTATATTCCTGAATAATATAGTGTCAGTCAAAGTGGCCTAAGTAAATTTTAAAACAATTTAAATAAAGTTAAATTATTTTTTAACTCAATTTTAAAATACTAAACCTTAATTTTTAGGATCATGCTAACGGAACACCGAATCAAAAACAAATTTTTCATTAAATAACAAATTAGAAAACACAAAAAGGTCATTCATATGGTACTTACGCCACAATCACCACGTCATCTTCAGCTCCACCAGTGTGCCCGTTAGAAGAATCGCCAGCAGAACAGAATGAAGTCTGACAAGAAATGGAAAGGGAAAAACAATGAGTCACGTAAACCAGACAGCATAAGCTATTGAAGATTAGAAGAAACAATAGCCTCAGGCAGACAAACAAAACTAATAAACTGTACAATACAAGAAATACCTGTAAACCTCCGATTAGTCTCAGATTAGTCTTTACTTCATAAAATTTTTAATTTTTTTAATGTAGAAAACAAAATAAAATAAACTATTCTTGCAAAATAAAGGATTAAAAAAATTATAAAGTAAAGGTCCTATTTTTACTGCTTATATGATACTCTTAATATTAATTTTTCTGTCTCAAGTGAATTTTTCGTATTATTTTTTTATATGTTTTACTATTACCAATATGATAAAATTATATATAATTATAATTGAATAATTTTATTCAATACCCCCCCCCCCGAGCATTTAAGTCAAGATCTTCAACTGGATACTTACAACTATATGCTCGAAAACGATGGTAAGAAAAACACAAACAGAGATAGAGAACAGAGGAATGCGGTAAAATTAACACGTGAGCTCAAAAGACTGAAATGGCAGAAATATGTAAACTTACAGAGAGATGGGTGTGAGAGGAAGAAAAAGAAGTTGAAGAAATGGGTTGTAGATGTTCAAGCAGCACTCTCTGTCTTTCAATTGCTTTCTCCATATTTGAGCACCTTTGCCTATCTCAATAACTCTCTGCTGCTATGTCTTAGCGAAGAGAAGAAGCGAGAGGAGCACTCACTATATATTATATAACCAATGACAGATCAAAGGGTGTGAGAAATTGACTTCAAAGCAGTCAGTCACTCAGGAAATGGACTACCAAAGTTCCTCCCATCAACAAATATAAAATTAAACATTTTAAAACGGAATGAATAATATAGAATAAATATATATACAGTTTTTTTTCTTAAAAATAATTTAATTTATTATTTTTCTATGTATTTTTTGTTCATATTAAAAAATCATAAATTTAATTATAAGTAATTCTATATTTTCTTGCTTTATATACCTACTGATAATTTTTTATCAAAATCATAAATATTACAAAATATATTAAAAAGTATAAAAGGAAACTATAAAATTAAAGATGGCAAAAGGGAATATTGGCCCACCCAGTGGAGGGTGTCGGGTTCAGATTTGAGTGGAAAAAAGAAAAGGGGGCACGTTTTGCACGTACAGCAGTACTTAACGTTATTAAAGATTATCATAGGCCCGTGAGCCAACTAAGACGCAAGAGTGAGGGTAAGAACAAAACAGAAGTTGTTGTAAGGTTGACCCAACAAGAATAAAATGAACGCAATTTAAAGATTTCTCAGAGGCCACATTTAACATGGGGACGGAAATAAGTGATACGTGCAAACTGTTACAATATTATAATGATTATTTAACCCTTTTTTTATATATGCAAAATAATTTTCAGAAGATAAACATTTGCATTTCACTGTTTGAATATGTTTCAATGAGATGTTTTAAGTGAATAATTTTTTTAAAAGAATTTATAATTTGATGGCTAAAAATTATTGTTTAGATATTAAATTTTAAAAATTTAAAATTTTAGAAATTTTAATGAAAATTTTTAATAAACTAAAATCAAAGTTTCTAAATCTTAACTGAAGAATAAGAATTTAAAATTTTTATTTATTTATTGTGTGTTCTATTTACATTTTTATTTAATTATTATTAATTTAAATTTTAAATCTTATACTTTTAATTAATTTTGTTAAATATAATAATAATTTTATTTTTTAAAATCTAAATAATTTAATTACTCTATTTAAATAAAAATATTTAAAATAAAAAATAATTATTTTGTACAAATAAAATATTTAAAATAATAAAAATTTAAATATTATAATTTAAATTTCTTCAAATTTTAAAATTTTAATTACCTCCTTCTAAAACAATATTTCTATTAGTGTTCATTGTGAAGCGCGCATCCTCAATTAAAAACCAAACGTTACACGGATACAAATAACCTAACAAAACAAATAACTTAACACAATTAATATCCAAAACATAAGATAGGGTAATTATAATTTTTTTAATATTTTAAGATATATTTTTAAATTATACGTAATTTATTATAAAATTATATTTATAAATATTTAATATAACTAAAATATGATAAATATGATTAACATAAATATTATTTTTTTAATAGTTGATTAAACAAATTTAATATTAAAAATAGTTGTTTAATGAAATAATTACTATCTGAATTATTGATAAAATATTTTTTTTTTGTTAAACATCAAAATTTTATTAAGGATAAATTTAAAGTATTTACTCTAACCCGTTACAACTCTAAAGAAAATTAACAATATATGTTTAGGGATCATTAATTCAATTTACATATATAATCAATCTTTCGAGAGGCCCTGCTGAAAGCCACTTCCAAGAACGATATTTAATAGAATCAAACATTTCACTAACATTTAACACACTATTATTGAAAAGAATATTATTCCTCTAAAGCCAAATTGTTCATACTACCGCAAATCATACTGTTACAACTTCGTTCTATTTCTTTTTTTTCACATTGGATTCCACACATGCTTAGAGTAATGTCTCGTGTAAATTTTCAGGTAAGCATAAACTAACACCAAACTATTCAAACACCATGTACCACAATTTCATGGAGACATCACAATGCAAAAAAAGATGCAATATATTCTCATCTTCAGTACTACACAACCCACAAGCTTTTGAGGGAATCATCAAATTACGCTTGGTCAAGTTCTTCCATACCAGGACTACATTAAGCAATAGATGCCAAACAAATACCACTACCTTACTTGGCGTACTGACCTTTCAAATCTTGCGTAAAGCGTGCACTAGACCCAGCTCCAAACCACTACCTGCAGTAAAGAAATGATGAATGTAGTGATAAGTGAATTGTACACTATATTTCTTATCACCGTCACACTTACACAGCAACATGTTATTCACATTTTCTCTCAGCCTCTTACCTTGCATAGTTTCTCACAACTGTTGTTGTAAATCTTCCTCCCATGAAAATAATTGTCTTCTCCAAGAAATTTTACCCATCTCAAATCGTCCGTTATCCATAACCTGCGCCTCCTTATTAGTCGTTATTGAAAACAACCTTAGGTATAAATTTGCCAATGCAATATTTCCTGCCCATTTATCCTTCCAAAAACAAAAAGAATAATCATCACTAAGTACTTATGTGACATTAGAATCTATCCACCCATCAGCTTGCTTACATACCCACACCACGTCCCTCCACCAATCTGAAGCACTTTGAGCTACCTTCAAAGAAATTAACATATTAGCACATGATCCATATCATGCCCGTAACACATCAAAGCACAATGAGTTTGGAGACTTTAAACCTCTCCAAACCCATTTACCTAACAAGGTCCAATTGAACCATTCCACATTTCTCACCCATAGACCGCCCTCATTCTTTGGCATGCATACTCTTTTTCATTTAACCCAAGTTATTTTTAATGATTCCTTTACGCCACTCCAAAGAAGCTGACAATGAATTTTTATCACCTCCTTAATTACACCCGGTGGCATTTTCCAAAAGGATAAATAATGTAGTAGAAGACTACTTAAAATAGCATTAAGAAGTGTTACTCTATCCTCAATAGAGATGTATTTGTGCTTCCAATATGCTAATTTGCGATTAAGCACCTCAATAAGTTTTTGCCAAGCACTTTTTCTTCTTGGTTTATCCCCAACATAGATGCCTAAATATCAAAAAGGCAATGATCCTACCTTGCAATTTAGAAATCGAGATGTTGTATATAGAAAATCACCTGTCACATTCACCCTCATAATACAACTCTTATGAAAATTAATTTTAAGCCCGAATATAAGCTCAAAGCTTCGTAGAATAGCCTTTATCGTTCGCAAATTCTACTCAATAGCTTTGCCTATAATCAAAGTATCATCTGCAAATTGTAATAATGAAGTTTTTAGTCCATCACTAACTTTAACCCTGGAAAAAAGACTATTTGAGATAGTACTTCTCATTAATCCCCCAAACCTATCGCTGCTAATAAAAATAAGAAAGAAGATAAAGGATTGCCTTGTTTGAGGCCTCTATCAATCGTCATTTCTTCTGTTGGACTCCCATTAACAAGGACCGATAAATGGCCACCACAAATACAAGTCTCCATCCACCTTCCCCACTTCTCCTCAAAGCCAAACTTTCATAACATATATAGCATATATTTTACATCCATTGAATCGTATGCTTTCTCATAATCTGCTTTCAACACAAAACATTTTTTCCTTTTCTTAGCATAATCTATCACATAATTGGCAACAAGCACACTATCTAACATGTTTCTTCTTGGTTTGAATGTCGATTGTTGCTCATTTATTATGCTTGCTAGCACACCCCACATTCTATTTGCAAGCACCTTTGAAATAATTTTATAAAGACACCCTAATAAAGAAATAGGTCTATACTCACTTACTTCTTCTGGATTCTTTGTCTTTGGAATAAGTGCTACAAAATAAGAGAGCAACCCTTTAGGAATTGCGACATTCATATGAAATTCTACAAGTATTTGCATTACCTCACTCCTCATCAAGTCCCAAAATAATTTTATAAACATGAAATTGAATCCGTCAGGACCTAGACTCTTATCTCCCTCACACTCCCTAATCATACTCAACACCTCCTGATGATGGGTCGTGAAAGGCCTCAATGTACATTTATCTTAGTTGCTTTGAAGTGCGACTCTTTTAAGTCTTGAAAATCATCTTCTCATCTTGGGAGAACGGCAAAGTTTCTCTACATAAATAGAAATTAATTAATTCAGGTACAAGAAATAGAGATCTAATCACACTTAAAATAAAGTTAATGACTTTTATTACCTTTCAATCTTTGAACTGGTCAAAAGAATTGGTTGAAATTCACTTTGTCAAAAGAATTGGAATAAATTATTTTTTGAAATGTCTCAAGTGGCTTTAAGTTATGAGCAGTTATGACTAAAGATATGTGGCAAAGATTGTGGATGGAATGTTGTTAAGATTTTGACAAGTGTACCAAGTTAAAAGGTTGTCATGTTCACAGAGAAAGTGGACATTTAAGCGATTTCAACTATCCAATTAAAAAGTAACAAATTCTTAAATATTCACAAATATAAAACTAAGTGATATTTTAGATTTTTGATAGTTTGGTTCATAGAAAATAAATGTAAATGTAAATAAAAAGAAAATTAAACTACTATGATAAGATTGAGGATTGGACTTCATCTATCATCCTCTTTTGTATTTTGGTTCTAACACACATTAACAATTATAAAAGTTTTATGATGCACTCCCATTATATTCACTCGTTGGATTCCTCTCACTCGAGATTCTAAGATATATTTATTGAGTGATAATTTATTACCTAATCAACAAATAATCTAGCATTACTAGCAAGATTTATATAGAATACAATAGATTAAAATCTATTCCTAGAGTCCCGACCTATTGCATGTATTTATCCCAACTGGGTTTTAAGGTAGTTTTCTAACTCACCCTAGATTCTCGAATCATGAATCATTCCTTATAGGTTAGAAACAAGCATTAATATCAAAATAAACACACCTAACCCATGGCAAATGAACAAACATATATTAAAAATACCAAAACATTCAGAGTATGAATATTACATCCAATCCCTAGAGTTATAGTCGTTCATGGCATACATTATAATAAGAAAATGCAAGAAAAAGAGATAGAAATTAGTTCTCCCAATGGTTCTTGATCACTTTT